TTCTTGGAAGAATACCCCCACCACACCCCCACACTCAGGTATGTGGTGATCTCAACTCAATACCATTTCCAGAGTGGGGACCTGATGCCCTGTGACTGGATCAGGGGTTACTGGCAATGCTGTGGACACAGGTTCTGTCCACTGCTAGGTGCTGAAATCCAGCAGCACAACCACCTAGGGTCCATGCAGGGATCAAATACCGTAGGTGAACCTAATATGGAGGAAGCCAAGGTAAACAATGGTAAGAGGGAAACAGAACTGCTGTCTGAACTCCAGATGTGTGCTTGTTTGAAGATCTGTCCTTGGACTATAAGGCAATTAATTCTCTCCTTCACTTATTTTAACTCAGGTCTTCTGAGAGAAACCATTGTTTATTGTGTCAACAGAGACCAAATATCTGGAAGTAATATATATCTTAATCAATTTTTAAAAGCTCACTGAATTCAATTTTACATGAGCAATTTTTCAAAAAAGTATATTAAATAATTTAGACTATTCTTTCTCTCTGAATGCACTGTTTTGCACAAAATATAATCAAACAATAAAATATATCAGAAAATATAAAGACATTAATAAAAACAGAACTGAAAACAAGAAGCAGATCCAATAATAAACAAAGATATGGTATGTGTGGTATGAATCACATCAGTGGAGAATGCAAATTATTCAACAATGATGCTGGGACATCTGACCTAAAAAAATAATGAAATGAGATTCTACCCCAAAATACATTCTAATTTTAGAGCTAAGTGTTAAAAAGGAAAGAGAAGAGGAGAAGAGAGGGGAAGAAAACTATAAAAGAACCAGAGGAAAACACAGGTAAATATTTATGCGATCTCAAGGTAGGGGAAGGACTTCCCAAGCAAAATACCAAAGACAGAAAAGACAACAGACAGACAGATGAATAGATGAGAAAACATTCTTTATAAAAATTAAGAAAATCTGTACCTCAAAAAAATGCCACCAACAAAATTAAAAGCTAATAGTAAAGTGGGAAAGGTATTTCCAATACACATGATAGACTGACTGTGTGAGTTACTGTTTCTAATACCTAAAGAACACATATGAATCTATTAGAAAAAGATAAAAATGTATATTTTCAAAAGAAATATATACATACATACAAAGCAAATCTGATAAGCAAATATTTCTTACTCCCATAAAACTTCTAGGGAAACAGTTGATTAATAAAAGGGAACCTTGAACAAAATCATAAAGGAAGCTGTATGTATGGGAGTATACATAATAAATATACCATAAAAATCCAACTCAATGCAATAAAGATTTAAATTTCATTATGACAAATGCCCAAAATTTACATAACCCTCCCCCCAAATTTATGAAATCCAAGCTACTGGTAGGTAGTCAATAATTCTTCTAACAATATACATCCTCTTTACTCACTGGTTGCTAAGATTTGGATTGAGCACTATGGCAGAAATGACATGAAAATTAATGATTTTACCCATACCTTGATTAACATTTTATAACTTTACGAGTTCAGTTCTGCAGAAGTAAGTATGACATTCCACTAGAGGAACAGAATTTAAATGGCCTTAGTAAAACTAAACAAAAAATGAACAATTTCTCTTTGTTTCTGACTCAATAGTCATTTGTCAAAGTATTTGTTTAAAAAATATTAAAGATACGTAGTACTTCTATAATGATCTGATAAAGACTCAAGCTTACACAGCACCCATATCAAAAGAGCCTGATTTAGCTTTCAGCTCATTCTTTCACAATCTTTCTTCTTTCCTTAGTCCCACGTGTGCCTTTTTAACTGTGTAAGGTTCCCCTGTACAAAGTCAGTAGTATACATACACTTGGACATGCTGGAGTCTAAATTTTTTAAAATCTATGTTTCAAATGATTATCTACTACAAATAAATATACAAACGCAAATGAATAAAACTTTAGAACACAGAATCTAGTTGGGTGCAAGGAAACAAAGGTAAATTATACAGTATCTCTATATACCTCTCACAAATAAAAAAAAGGTCCATCAGATTTTTAGTTGTCGCTTTGCTGTTTCCAGTCCAACTAGTGTTTCTCTAAAGCTAATGGCAGAACATCTCAGAAATACGATATCCTTCCACAGAACAGTGGATCAAAACACGAGGGTCCTTCCGTAGGAAATCCCCATTACCAATTCTTCACACTGTTTTTCTTGAAGGTTCAACTCCAAGCCAAACCAGTCCATCTGAGAGTAAAGCCAAATCACAGTTTATATTGTATCTATTCTGTGCTATCCTTGGACGTGCCTACTTTCACATAAAGTGTGATTCTTACTAAGGGGGGGGGGAGAAAAACCTAAGAGAATGTAATATACACAATAATAAATTAATTAAAATTATTTCTCTTTCAAACAGGCTGACTTTCTTTTCCAAAATACTCATAGTAAGATATTCATATACGGTTTAGTAAAGAGTCTCAGTGTCTCATTTACTATCCACTAGGCCAGCGCAACCCAGTTGCGACCCACAGGAACCGTATTAAAGGGTCGCAGCATTAGGAAGGTTGAGAACCACTGTACTTGGCAGATGCAAAGAAGCCTTGCATCTTGCTTTGCAGGGTAAATTAACAGAAGGGTATTAGACATAAATACTATAACAGTCTTACCAAACTGTTTGGGTACACCAGACCACTTTGCAAAACACACTTCTGAATTCTATTCTCCAACACAAATGAAGTGAGAATATAGAAAACTCTATCAGCGTAAGTCTCCTATTTATAAAAATATACATACATATGTTTGAATATAAATAAATAAGGGCAAGGGGAGGGGAAGCAAATAAAGAAACCAGATTCACAACTATGTAAGTGAAAAGGTCCTACTTATACTACATATCAAGAGTCAGATTGCCCAGGACAGTCTTTCACCAGCCCAATAAAGATAACAGTTTTTGTCTAGTGACATGAAGATTAGTCAAAGACTGTCATTCTTCAACGATTAAAGTAAAAAATTATAATTTTTTTTTAAAAAGAAAGATAAAGACAACCTATGAAATGGGAGAAAATATTTATAAATCATGTCTGATAAGGGTCTTATATCCAGAACACATAAGGAACTCCTACAACTGACCAATAAAAAGACAACCAAATTTAAAAATGGGCAAAGTATTTGAACAGACCATTTCCCAAAAGAAAATATACACAAGGCCCGAAAGCACATGAAAAAAAATCTCAGTATCATTAGCCCTGAGGGTAATGCAAATCAAAAGGACAAAAAGATACTAACACTACTTCATGCACCCAATAGGATACCTACAATTTTTTTAAACATGGAAAATAACAAGTGTTGATGATGTGGAGAGAAAGGAACCTTTATACATTACTGGTAAGAATGTAAAATGGTGGATCTTCTTGGGAAAACGGGTTGACAGCTCCTCAAAAAGTTAAATAGAGAGTTACCATAGGACCTAGCAATTTTGCTCCTAGGTAGTTACCCAAGCAAGATAAAAATAAATCTCCACACAAAAACTTCTACACAGGTGTTCACAGCAGCATTATTCAAAGATGAAAATAATCCAATTGGTTGTCCATCAAATAATAAAAGGAAAAATAAAATATGGCATATTCATACAACATTACGTGGCCATGAAAAGAAAGAAATGCTACAACACAGCTTAAGTTAAGATTATGCTAAGTGAAGGAGGAGGTGACGAAAGGCCATGTAATATGTGATTCCATTCATACAAAATGTATAGAACAGGCAAATCCATAGACAGAAAGCAGATTAGAGCTGCCAGGAAGTGGTGGGCAAGGAAGAGTGACTGCTGATGGCTAAGGGTTTCCTTCCGGGTGACAAAAATGTTCTGAAATTAGATAATGGTGACGGCTGTACCAAAACTGTGAATACGCCAAAACTCACACTGAATTGCATACTTTAAAAGAGTCCATTTTATGAGAAGGGAATTATACCTCTTCATAAAAAGAAAAGAAAAATGGATTAACTGAAAAGCATTAATTTTCAGTCATGAAATAAGTATTTTCAGTGTATTATTTTATGAATGACACCATGTCTTTTAAAAAATCATAAATGGAAGTTTTCCTTTGGGAATCTTAAAGTTGACAGTAAAATCAGAACGACATGTTTGAGGAGCAACTTAATTCTGAGAAGTTTCAGGGTAAAGGCACTGGTGCCTCAGGCTTCTAGGAAGCTTTTCCCAAAATACATGTCTTTTTTGAGAAGAACTGAAAGAAACCAAATTTCTGCTTCTATATTCTCTGCATATCTGTTCATCCTTGTCCATGTTTCTGCTTCTAGCCTGTTAGACCTGAATCATGAACCCAAAAGCATGAGACCAAAACCCCGTTATATAGTTACAGCCCAGAATGAACGTCAGGATTAAAGAACGTTAGAATGTGAGAATTACAGGTGTAAGGACCTCATATAATACAATTATTTCACTCTTCTCTCAATCAATTCCAGTTAAGCTCACGTATTTCAGAAATGCAAGTTACCTGATTCCTTGAAACTTTAAGAGAAAAGACTGAATGCTTCTCTTAGAAATGTTTGTTGCTTTAAAAAACTTACTTAAACTAACAAAGCAACTAAAATGAACAGCAATGCCAAGTTGGCTCAGGCAAATCAATAATGATGAAAAAGCCTTAGGTCTATTGTCATTATATGCCCTACCCAACATCATTTTGGCTTTAAACAGCAGCTAAATATCTTGGTACTAACAGAAAAGCATTTTTTTAAAACTTTCAAAAAAAACTGTACTATATAAAAATTTAGCTGACGGTCAGATAACAACCTTAAATCTAACCAGGCAGTATCAACAGCACAATCTGACAGCTGTCCTCTGAGCCCTGGGCCTTAATTCTGATACATGTCCCTTATCGTATCACCTGGATACCTTCTTTGTTTCTACGTTTCTGAGACTAACAAAGGGCTGAATTCTAGCAAACCGAGCCAATGGTTTGGGAAGTGCTGACGACGCGGCATTCTGTGATGCACGTGGATGAGGGACGTGCTGTCACCTCACATGCCATACCTGGTATGCACTGTGCTGTGGCCTCTGTGGTTATAGTTGCAGCAACTGGGGCCTGCTGCTGACTGGAGCTTACTTCTGGCTCTGTGTTAACTGAGGGAGAAAGGGCTACCTCACAGGAGGAGACCTGGCTGGGCAGATGGGACAGGAACTCTTCAGAAGCAACATGCTCATCCTGTCCAGGCAGCTGCAGGGCAGACAAAGGGATACTGATCTGTTTGTTAGGGTGGGATGTGCTCACAGGCATCTGCATGGCCACCTGTTGGCTGGTGCCATGGGTACCAGAGGGTCCTCTGTTTGGTGAAGCCAGAGATACCCTAGCAGTCTTCTGGACGATTGGCCTGGAGATAACAGAGGGGGATGCAGACATACCGTGTGGGTCTAGCTCCGTGCTGATGGCAGATGTCACGTGGGGAATCAGCTTAGCAGACCCAACACAAGAGGGCCCAGCATGAGTCTGAGGCTTGGGTTTTGCCATCTGTGTCAGTGACAGGGCTGGTCCATCAACCCCTCCTGTCAGCTCTGCGTTTGCCACAATGTAATAATCCTCAGGAATCTCTTGTTTGATTTTCTTGATGATGACATCACTGCTGCATTCGTCCACCATCTGCACATGGGAGCTTGAATGGAGGGAAGACGGGCCTATGCCAGGCCTTTTGCGAGCAATGCTTTGAGGCCTTTGGTTTTGAGGTTCAAAGTCACTATCCTCATCTGTAACAGACGACTCACAAACCATGTCAAACAGGGTGTTCTCATCTTCGTATTCTTCAACAGCTTCATCCAGTTCAGAGGGCTCACTGCAATAGGAGAAGTCACAAGAGTCTCTGGTCCGGTTACAGTCCAGCTTTGCTTTCACTGGTCTCCCAGGGTACCTTTCAACAGGGCTTGTCTGTGTCTCAGAAGGCACCCCAATAATACTGGGACTATCAGAATTAAAACTTCTGTTATCCTGGAAACAAACCCTCTCTTGGGACCCAGCTCTGCAAGTGGCTGTTAGCGGCCAGTGATAAGCATGGCCAGCACTACAGCCCCACATTGCTGTCAGGTTCCCATGGGAACCTTCCGAAAGCAAGTGTTTCAGGTTTGGAATGAGGCTGCAAATGGTCCCATGGCTGTGGGCCCAGCTGACCAACTTGGACAGATTTTCGGATGAGGTATGAAGACAATCCTCCATGTTCTAGGATCAGCAGT